TACAAAGGTATAAGCAAATGTGTGTGAATGTTTTCTACAAAAACTATATCACAACTGTGATGTTTACACAAATGAAGCTTAGAATACTAGGTTGCTAAACGCTAATAAAGTATCAGAGTTTGTTGGTTTAGCAAAACTTGTAGAGTGAAGATTATTGTTCAGCTTTGTGCGTGTAGAGAGTTTGGAAGCATTAGCCGTGATAATCTTCAAAGCTTGGTTTAAATAGCACTTGAGAGGATGAACGTTGAAGCAAATATTCTTGATTCAATGCTATTAACAAGCTTTCCTTTTTGAGCAGATCTTGTCTAGAATGATGCCGTTGGTATTGATTAGCTTTCAATGCACAGTACCGTTGCTTCTTCAATGCACGTTCTGGCTTGGCTCATTCTGATTCTGCTTCGCTGCTGATGAACTAATTTGATTCTGTATCAGAGTGTTTTACGCGCAGTTCTGTTCATCAAGCTTCAGCATGTGCAAGCGTTGATCATCTGATCTTGACGTTCTGATTCAGCAACTTCTGATGCTGGTGTATGAAATCATATTCTGATGCTGAAAACGTGATCTTGCTTATTTTAATCAGCATATCTGCAAGTCAGAGCATAGTAATTTTAGGCAGCATATAATTCAATCATAAAATATTTAACTACTATATCTTTTCACTTTGTTATCATCAAAACTTAAATATGGGGTACTAGATTCAAACATTGTTCTAACAAAATTAAATGAGCAGACAAAGAAGCATTGGATAGAAGATGAAGAATTATAATCTTAGAAAAAATAGTTTTTATTTTACTTTAAACTTTTTATGTAATTGTCATTATAAATATTTTGTAAATAATACAATATTTAAATAACAATTGTAATAAATAGAATGGAGTGAATAAAATTCTATTATTTCCCAATTAATTCTTTTTCTTTCCAATTATTTATTTATCGTTTATAATTCTTTAAATTGTATAATAACTGAAAATCAATTTCAATTACTTAAATTCAGAATAATAAACAAATAAATAAACATCATTGATCAATTAATTATTTAATTCATTATTCATAATTCTCTAAATTATAATAATTAAAAATAGAATTTCAATTATTTAACTTAGAATGATAAATAATTAAATAATCATTGTTGACCAATTAATAAACCTCTTTTCAAATGTTTATTTCATTATTCATAAATCTTTAAATTATATAATAACCGAAAATAGATTCCAATTATTTAAATTTAAGATAATAAATAATTAATAAACATTGTTTGATCATTGATCGATTAATAAATTCAGCGTTCAGAAATAAACAGCTCTCGACCTGAAAAAGTTATGAATTTTTAAAAATCAATAGATCAAAACGCTTGCAATGTAATGATGCAGATGGGAGATGGTATCTTAGGTTAAAATTTGGGGTACAACAGCTGCCCCTATTTAAGTTTCTTCTATCCGGAGATATGAAGATTAAAATCTTTGTTTCGACGGGATTGAAGGTACTTAAATACATAATACGCAAATTTTTGCCCTAAGATACCGCCATTATGTTTGATATGAATGTAATGACTGAATTCACAGAGAAAGATATTGTATGAAACAAGACAATGCTGGAGGAATCAAACACCAACAAAACACAGAGACGTGGATTATACACTACTGGGGAAACGAGCCATCGATTTCAAGTAATGGACTCTTGACGGCGAATAAAATTGAGGGAATACGACCTCCGACCCTGACAAAGAAGGCATCTTGCATAAGCCATAACAAACTTTCTCTGCGAGATTTCCCGAGATATACTCATTAATGCTGAGATAATATGGTTGTAGATGGGCAAGTCGCTCCAATAAAGAAGCTGTCACTTGCTGTTTTCCGAGAAAATATTATGACATACAAGCTGCTCAAATAAAGAAGCTGCCGCTTGCTGTCGTCCAGGGGTGTCAATAACACACAAGCTGCTCAAATAAAGAAGCCGCCACTTGCTGTTTTCCAAAGAAAATACCAATAACATACAAGCTGCTCAAATAAAGAAGCTGCCACTTGCTGTCTCCCAGAAAAATAATAACGCACAAGTTGCTCAAGTAAAGAGACTACCGCTTGTCATTTTCCGAAAATAATAATAACGCACAAGTTACTCGTGAAGAGCTGCCGCTTGTCGTTTTCCAAAAATAATAACGCACAAGTTGCTCGTGAAGAGCTGCCGCTTGTCGTTTTCCACAAGATAATAATGACGTACAAGTTTCTCGTGAAGAGTTGCCGCTTGTCGTTTTCCAACGATGTCTATAACATACAAGTTGCTCGTGAAGAGCTGCCGCTTGTCGTTTTCCAAAAATAATAATAACGCACAAGTTGCTCGTGAAGAGCTGCCGCTTGTCGTTTTCCGAAATAAACTCAGAAGGAAATTGCAATGACACTGGCAGAGAATAAAATCTTCATCAAGGAGAAACATGAATCAATCCTTCCTGAGGAGATCACATACTTAAATGTGCAAAATAAATGCACCATACGCCTAGGTCGCGACTTCACTGGGGAAAATCATGAGATAGCCTACGCAAGAGACAACAACTTCATCCAGGGATAACTAGAGAGACAACAGTCAAACAAGACTCCACCCAATGAGAAAGCAACTCGATTGGGGAATTCATCCTATCCAGAAATGCACAAGGTGAGCTAAATCAAAAATCATCCATGAGGATTAGATCAGTTGGCGAATTTAGAAAGGAAGCACATTTTCTGCCTAAGCTAACCTTCTACTTAGAAAGAAACATGTACGTTATTTGAATAAACAAAGTACCATCCAAAAGTCAACGACAAATGTGAATATGCGTGCGTGATATAAGTGTGAATGAATAAATGAATGTTATACTGACAAAACGACCAGAAGGAATGTCCTGAAGACGATAAGATGTCACAAAAAGATAGATACTCGGCCAATCTTGAAAAAAGACGGAAAATAACTGGAACTGGAACCACACAACAACGTCGGAGCGTAACACGCCACAAGGTTCAAGTCTTCTGAGGAGAAAAGTAATCAAATCCAATCTTACAAAACCAATAGACCACTGGCAAGAGACAAAGCGTACCACACTTCCGAAATCTCCCAAATAAAGATAACTGAAACAAATCTTAACTGGAACACTTGGGGAGTCACCAAACTTAGTACCACCAGAAACACGAGCTTACACAACTAACACCTCATGATGATTTTGAAACGAAACATGTTCATCATGCAAGGATAAATTACTGTATTGTTTTGCATTTCATGGATTGACCATCCTCGGAACAACTGTTAATATTCCTTTCGTTATTCATGACACATTTTTAAAATAAGAATACTTTAAGTAAATTTGTTTCAAGTATTTCCATAAAAATTAAAATTTTTCCCACAAAAGGTAAATGCTCAAATTTTTCCTGGTCGAAGTGAAGCGCATGCGATGAGGGAAGAGAGAGACCACCAATGCAAGTGGATCGACTTAAGCATCGATTTCGAAGGCGACAACATTAAGCATGAAAATAGAGCCTGCCACTTTTTCTCGTTAATAATGTTACAAGAAACAACTAGAAAATAAGCTCTTGGATGCATGCCCCTATCTCCCACCCATCATCCTGATCTTGGCTTGAAGTATCCAAGTAGCGCTAAAACGAAAAAGCGAACTATTGGAATTCTTGTCTTGGGCTTAGCCCTCTTTTACACCAACTCAATAACAAGCGCCGAACAAGGATGAAAGAAATAACATTACTAATCAAAATTTATTCATTCAACCATTCATATTACGTTACGGCAATCCTACACGCCGTCCGTGCAAGCAGGATACCGCGGTCAATGTTGTAAACAGACCTAGCATCATGCCACCAGAGCTCAATTAAAGCAGGAATCGGCCGGTATCGAGCAGTCGCAATTCCTTGGGCGCTTCGTGGCCCCGTTAGCTGTTAGCTGGCTAATAAAGACTTACGTAAAGAGGCATTTCGAGCCTGGAATATGGATGAATAAGAAACCTTTTAATATGACCGGATAGCAGAAAGATTTTTTGTTCGCTTGGGTAATATAAGGGAAATGGACACCTGCTGAGATGTCTTGTAAATATGTCAGAAGATCTCTTTGGCCTGCGGTCGGGAGCTTGAGAGTTATATGCCTTGACCAGTCAGACTGTGGATTATTGGCATCTATCAAATCTTGTCACCCCATTGCATCAAGTCCGACTTTTTGCAGCAAGCACTCGTGGCGAGTGACCTTGATAGCCAAGTCACAGAGATCATTGAATTGCTGGAGCGCAGTGTAGTTTTATTCGCTGGGCTCAAGGTTCGTGATCAAGACCGATAACGTGGCTACGAGCTCTTTCCTTACTCAGAAGAGAGCCCAACCCCAAGCGGGCACGGTGGAAAGACTTTCTGGTGGGGTTCGACATGGTCCTCGAGTACAAGCCCGAGAGGACCAATCAAGTTGCTGACGCACTAAGTCGAAAGGCCGAGTTGGCATCCAACAAGTTAGAAGAGATAGCAGACATGAGCCAACTCAAAGGGGCCATCCCTGAACGCATAAGAGAGGGGTTGGAAAAGGACCCCGTAGCCCAGACCCTGCTGAAAAACGTGAGAAGCTTCAGTTAGAAGTTCCGCTCGAGTAGAACGGTTATTGGTGCTATATTTCATATCCTCCTCCTGTTGGTTGGTGAGTTACCTCTTCCCTTCATTTCCATTTAATCTCTGACAAAACCTACCTTTCAAACAACAAGAGGATCCCTATAAAGCCCCTAGTTGCCATAAGGAAGCTCTTTGTTATGAAGAAGCCACAAATAAATAAGAGGAAAATTAAGGTCTCAAGCATATAGGGGTTGGCTACGGGCGGCACCCTATAGCTATAACATTATGCGTGTGTAGATCCTTGACAACACAGAGGAAGTTGGAATAAAGATGGCATAGCTTTGGCGGTCATCGCAAAGGTGTCCTACCAATATCATTTTTTTAGAGATGAGACAAATGCAGCCGAATTGCTCGTCATATGATGGGTAGCCCCACATCAACATGGGTGGTATAGTCTTTTCCTTATTGTGTGGAAGATTCTAGTTTGGAATCGCCACTGAGGTTTCATGGTGTAAGAATGGACTTAATTCACCTGAGAGAGTTGTGCTTTTATTTTTTAAACTTGGGTCAGTGGTGAGAAGGCCGAGAAAGTGCTTAAAACCGTCATCGCATCGGTTGGAACCTCAAGGTGGAATTTTTGTCCTGTGGAAGAGCAAAGATATATCAGTGGATGTCCTTCAGGATGACTCTCAGTTCGTTCATATGAAGGTAGTTCAGGAGAAGAAGAGCGAGTGCTTATTGATTGCTCTCTATGCGAAACCTATGGAGAGTCTGAAAGCCTGGCTCTGGAAGCAAGTTCTTCATATGTGGGAAGTTTAAAGATTGAAAGCAAAATCATTGATCTTGGGTACCTAGGCTCTCAGTTTACATGGCCAGGCAAAAGTCTCTTGGGTTCAGTCGTGTGTATTAGAGCTTAGATAGAGCTCTGTTTAAGATGGAATGTCATTTTTCCCAGAAGCTGCTGTCCGGAATCTGCCTCCAGTCAAATCCGATCACCACCCTCTTTCTTCTTTTTGACCTGCAAAGTGACCTCAGTCGGCATTCCAGAGACCTTTGTTCTTTGAAGCGGCTTGGTTGACTCATACTCATAAAGAAAGTCTTGCTTATACGTCTTTCTAGCGTACGCGCGCTTCCGCATGTGATATTATCACTGCAAGCAGAAGTAGAGAAGTATATGTGATTGGGGAGGAGGATCAGGTAGGAATGAAAGCCAGTGGTGATTCGTGACTATGAACAGCCGGAGAGGGCATCCATTTCTTTCTTCTTATGTTCCTCAGAAAGAGTTACTGAAAAAGTACCTGCTCCATTTCAGTATACCAATAGACATGCGGGCATGGAAAGATGATTCTCAGATAGTGACGGCATGGAAGATCCAGTGCTTGTCCCTTCGCCGAAGTACCTGTACAGTCATTCTGACAAGCTACTATCAATGAGCCATCCCTTAGTCTTAGTCCAATAGCTAACTTGGCTGGAGTAAGCGGAATCGCCAGGAGCGGAAGATGCTCTACTTCCGAGGAAGTAGAAAGACAGAGGAAAGGCAGTGAAGGTTACCCATGGTTTGCATAGAGAAAGGATAATGGAAGTGGTAAGGCAACGGGAACACCAAGACAAAAGACCCTTTGGGATGGTTTCAAACCTCAATTCTCTTTAGTGAAACCTTATCTCGTGTTATCATAAAAGCGCCAAGTCACTTCATCCAAAAGAAGGTGAATGATAAAAAGAAAAGCTAGTTGACTTCCATTCCAAACTTCAACCTCTATGAGGCTTTGTGGTGCTGGGCTGGAGATAGGGGGTCCTCTTATAATATAATCCGTAGCATTTAAGGCTTAATCACTCCGTATAGACACACCTAGACTACGAAGCTAGGGTAAGGAATCTTCTCACGCAGAAGCAGAAGGAAAGGAATTATTAGCATTGAAGTTGAGGGGCTTAAAAGTACGGTAGTCTACGTTAGTAGTGATTTGCTTATCGAAGTAAAGAGAATGACAGGTCTTGAGTGATAGGTCATACCCTTGAGGACCAGATTAACCCTCCTTTTCTATCTTTTTAGTTAAATATCGAACCTTTACTATAAGGATAGTAAATATAGTCAAAGATATCCCCAGTACCTTACGAAATAAAAACTCTCCATACTCAAGCTCATACCTAAGGCAATTCCTTGGAGCGGAGCTAGCATTCACACTGGATTCCCTTATTTCAAGTTCCAAGGGAAAGGCATAATCTATAGGGAGGGCCAAAAGAGACGTTCTTCTAGCAAATAGAGTTGATTAATATATAATTATTTTAACTATATATTCATTTAGATGATATTGAGAATTGTCCAGGTCAGTTACCATTAAGACCAAGCGCCTTGCTTGATGGCATCAAGAGGAGTACGATGGAAAGGCCTAAGCTATACGACTTGGCTCCCAAAGAGTATAGGAATTGGAAGCCGTGTTCCTGACACCAAGAGAGAGACTTCCCTTGACAACGAAATAATAGCATCCGGGGGGTGGTAAAATCTCTATAGTCCACGTCTGCAAGAACATGAGAATCTATCTCAACGGGAAAGTCTATATCTTCTCGCATTCTAAACTAAAGTTACGGTACCAACAACTACGTTCGTATCCTGATCCTACTCTTTCATTCAAACCTAAGATCATGAATCTCCTGAGCCCATTCACAAGAACCTAGGCAAATAGGCCCAAAAGAGGCTTTTTTTTTCGGCACACTTGGAATGTCTGTCTTCGAGGGGTTGATACCAATTTTATCGAGAGTGGCAGAATTCCAATTCAATTTTACGAGGGAAAGGTGTGATTCATCAACAAAGGGATAGGGATAAGAATACGCAGGCGAGAGTGTTTAAAACATCAGTCATTGAATAGGTTACCCGGGATCATTTTCCTAGACGAGCGAGGAGAAGAGCATGACTGCGAGTGGATCCTCTAGCTTCCTTTCCCTGTCTTGTGGCGGGCTAATAACTAATAAATGGAGGAGTCATTTCCAGGCTATCGAGCGGACCACCATTCTAGTGGGTCATGATGTCCCGTGGGGATAATATCCTAATCTTCATCAGTAAATGGCATAAGTCAATTGTTACGAAAGAATGAAATTTCACTCGATATGTATTTGACAAAGAAGCCTGCTGTCGTTGACCTTTCCCCGAGCTTGCATATAAGGATATTGAAGTGAATGGACCCTTCTAGATTGCATAGTCAGTGGGAGGGAACCCTACATAGATAGGAAAGCCTAACAAATCAAATAGTTGGGTTTGGGGAAAATCAAGCAGAGGAAGAATTTCCCATAGGAGTAAATCTCTCCTTCTTGATCTCTCTCTAGAACAGATATGCCCGAGGATGAGACCCCCACAGGAGGTGGGTGCTCTAAACGGTCGTCATATGTCATATGTTTGAATTAGTCAATCCGCTAAGAAAGCTAGCTTCAGCTGCTGTTGGTATTGTTGCGTATAAATCTTTCCCACTCTGTCTTATACTGACCTTCTAAGACATGCCTTTTTAGGGATTGGTCTTCCCCTAAGACTCGTAGACTAAAGCACTTATTTTGAGAGCATAGTTAAATACAGCGGAATTATTATTAAGATAAGTAGGAAAGCAAGAGTGAAGAGTCGACATTCACCACAGAACTAAAAGCATAGTCACAAGGGCAAGCGAACCACAGAGACCATTTCACAAGAGCTGAGCTGAAAGAAGAGTTCTTTTTATTACTCTAGGGCCTTTGGAAAAAGAGTAAGAACAGATAGTCATCGCCTTTCCCTTTCGACTGGCATTATCACACCGCCATAAACAAATTCAATAGCTGCTCCTATCCCGATTCCAAGACCTGGACCTGTTTCAGGTTTGAAAGCAGCCCTTATTCCATTCATTCCATCAACAGCTCAATCGATGGGACTTGCTTTCCTTCCTAAAGGAAGTTACCCAGAGCCGGTAGAAATGACTGACTTAAGATAGAGAGATATCACCCCTAACAGAGTCCATTCTTCGAATAGTAAGACGGTAAAGCCAAAGATCTGATTCACTAGCAAAGTAAAGCAGCAGCCTTGATCAACTATAGGAAAGGACCAGTTTTACACAGTGACAAGGACTTCGCCCAAAAGCATTGATTGAAGGTCTCCTCTTTCTTTTTCACAGCTGCCCGTGAGTTCAGTCGTTAGTTAACATTCGACCTTTCTTGGAAACTTCCGAGAGGAGCGCTTTGTTTTCTTAGCGCCTTTTCTCCCGGTGGTAGTCGAATCCATAGAATTGGCTTAGTAGGATCGCTATTTCTTGTGCAGGTCCGTGCCAGTATGGTAGATAAAGTTAAAATAAGAATTGGAAGAGAAGTTCAAATAAATTCTTTACCTAAACAAGGGAATTGCTTTCCTCTTTCCCGGCCTTGCTTTCACTAGTTAAACTACCGCAGGTTCTGGATCGATTGGATCAACTACAACTGGGATGAGATGAACAGAAGGGTGTAACACAATCCGCTTCATAACTGGAAGGCCGGACCGAAAGATTCACTGGTTCAACAAGCTCAATAGCCCCCAACTTGTTCGTTTTACTCATCGTCAGCCTTACTACTCACTACTTCTTCGATTACCAGCTTTCTCTGACGCCCGTCCCCGCTCCTTTTATCATGACATTGAGATCTGTCTCCCTTCCTTCTCAATGCGATTCGATCCGGACCTTGATTGACATGCTACAGTTATCTCTTGAGTCACGCTATTTGGCACATAGGCATTCACTTTTGATCTGCCTATACGAACGAGCCATATCATTTGTTCTCTAGTGGGTGCCTCTTCTTCCTCTCTCCCACTGCTACCCGATCAGATGCACCTCTTATGCTTTTACTGGAGATGGAACTGTTGGATCACTTCGAAGACTGAGACCTGTTTGGAAAGGAAGCCCTACCAGCTCTAATTCCTCATCCCAATCTCAGAAGAAAGGTCCAATACCAGCAAGCTATAGGAAATAGCATCGGTGGAAGATACAGCAAGGATTCTGAAGACGAATAACACAGTGAGGATGTCCATGCTCAGTTTCTTCTCTGTCAGCTTCTTAATCGCGTGGTGCCTTTCCCTCTCATCCTCTTTTTGGCAACCGAAGTAAGGGTGTTGCAATCCCTCTACTCGCTGTTTCCTAAAGCTATCATTCTTGTCTTTAGCGCAAATACGGAAACCAGCCACAGCAAATGCTAGTCAGATACCGTACATTCTAGGCCAAAAAGTAAAAAGTTAGAATAAACAAAGAGAATCATAAAGGAAAGGGAAAGGCAGAAAGAAGAGGCAAAATTCCTTTTCACAGCCCTTTACGTAGCGTGATGATCTCCTCGGGGGCTTACTTAGGACCCATCCCCATTGTCAAGTGATGGAAGATCAGACTAGAGATCAAGCACATCGGACGGTATCTGAAGGGTTATCTTGGTATCTGTTGTACCCCAAAATTTTCCCTCCCATATTCTTCAAGGTTTATCAAGAATCATCCTCAAATGGTTCAAGTTTACTCAAGAGATTGCACAATCAAACCATCTCCTAAGACAACTGAAATTAGGGTTTTGGTTCTTTCAAGGAATTTGAGGTTTTCAATGTCTCAATCAAATCTCATAGGCCCATATACATCCTCGAGCATCTACATGCCAAGTTTCAAGGCTCACAGTGTCCATTTGCACAGTCAAAAGCTCCATTTGATCCACAGTCAACTGCAGGGGTAAAATGGTCATTTTGCAGTCAAAGGTCAGAATTTTTGGTCAACTTATTATTTTGAGTTCACAATCATCATTTGATCAAGTCTTGATCATGATTCCACAAGGATGGCTCAAAAATCATCAAGGATGCAAAAGTTACT